TTTTTTTTTTTTTTTTTGTGATGATGATGAGGGTGATGATGCACTTAACTGGTAAACCTTGGAATGACAATGGCAACTGTACCAAAATCCCCCGATTGTGGCGTCCCTCTCTTCCCTCCTCCTCCTCCTCCTCCTCTTTTTCTCTTCTCTCACCACTGATGAAGGAACACACCGCTGACAATCTATCGTTCGAGTATCAAAGTCGTTCCCTGCAGGCTTGAAAAAGGCAGACGGGTTCCAGTGGAGTCAGAATAATAAAAGAAATCTGAAAATCCTCCTCCTCTCGCTGTCAGTAAGTCGCTGTAGTGGAGCTTTGTATTGAAGGACGACGTGGATCGATGGCGTAGACGTCGATAAGGCAGCAGGAGTGGTTCAAGAGGTTTGTGTCGATGTTGAGCTTTAAAGCTTCACTACCACGGTGGGAAATTTTATAAAGAATCTACCAGCTGCTGATGAATAAATGTTCAAACTCACCAGCCATTCAGTAGTAAATAATCATATTCTGTTTGAAATCTACCAGCCGCTCTCATGTTGTACCAGCATTCGGCTGATTTCCCACCCTGCACTGCTCCAGTTGGACTTTATCAGCCCATTAAATGTGTTTTCTTTATCGTCCGAGGAGGTAAATTTGTTTCCAGAACCCGTCGATGCTCATAAGACAGTCACTCTCTATAAATACTATGTTTTGACTAAAGCTGCACGGAGGGTTGATCTGCCCACATTTATTCTAACTGATGAATCTTTGTTTAGAAAATGTCAGAAATAGTCAAAAGCGAACCTCCGCAAGTCGCCAAAAGCCCAAAGCTTTAATCTTTAAGTAGCTTTATCCATCTGACCGACAGTCCGAATCCAAAATCTTAAAACAAAAGTCTCACATGTGAGAAGTTCGGACTAGAAGAACGTCATCGTTAAAGTCATTTCTCAAGCAGAAACTCTGGTTCAGCTTCACAAACGTGACGATTTGATGATTTTAGATTGAATAACGTGGACTGTCGGTCGGACAGGATGTGAAATAACTGTTTAAAATGTGAAAACTCACCAGCCGCTCCGCAGTAAATCATTACGTCGTGTTTGATCTCTACCAGCCGCTTTACCAGCAGTCGTTCTGGTGCTAACGTCCCACCCACAATGCATTTCAACTTCTTTTTGTGCTAATATCTGACATTATACAGAGCAAACCGTTGATCCGAAGTGAGAATAACCGTTACTTGGAGCTCTACTTTGGATTATTACTTGATTGAGACGCTGACTGATGTAATCCACTGGAATCCAGACAGAAAACAACTAGAGAGAGAACATGCGTTTGATCCCTCGGAGAGATAGATTTCAGAGCGTTTCCTTTTAAAAAAAAAAAAACAGGATCCATCTCTTTGTCTTCACGACGCCTCGCAGACGAGAGGAACGGAGGCCGTGGGTTTGTTTTGTTGTTTGTTTTCTCGGGAGGGGCGGGAGGACCGACGGGGAAACAGGTGAGAGGCGGAGAGGGTTCAAAAGAGGGCGACTGCAGGTCCGGTCACCCATCACCTCTCCTCCCTCACCGCTCTGTCCTCCACCCCCGACTCCACTATACCGTCTGTCTGTCTGTCTG